TCTTCTCCAGGACTCCTTCCATGAGCCTGTCCCTCAAGACTCATAGCTCAAAGACACTGCTCAGATGTCCTCTTCTCCAGGACTCCTTCCATGAGCCTGTCCCTCAAGACTCATAGCTCAAAGACACTGCTCAGATGTCCTCTTCTCCAGGACTCCTTCCATGAGCCTGTCCCTCTAATAATACCTTGTGAGTGACTCTGATATTGTTCTGGCCACACTTTATTTTAATCTTTATTACAATTTTCACTTACCCCTAACTGCCCCTGTCCCCATAGCCAGACTGTGAGCTCTCTGAAGCCCCAGGCTGTTCTGTATCCTCAGATTATCACCCAAGGCGGATCCTAAATAAATAGGTTGAATTCCTGTGAGTTGAGGAGTAATTGGATGAAAGGTGAGGAGGTGGAGTCCAAAGTGGACAACTTTGCCAAGAATCTTGATGAAAAGGAGGAGAATAGGGTCATAGCTGCTGGCGGGGAAACTGAGTAAGGGAGGTAGTTTTAAGATGGGAGATACTTGAGTTAAGCTGCTTTTAGTTACAAGCAACAGAAAGAGTTTGGGGAAGAATCCTGGCTATTGCCAGCTAGAATCAAAAGCCTGGTGACTTGGGAGGGCAGAAAGCAGTTGGTTCCAGCAGCCAGAAGCATTGTAACCTCTCACGCTCTCTCACTTAGTGGCATAGGATTCCCAAACTCTCCATTCCAAGCTTCTGATACTCAAGGAAGAGAATCTGTTTGGCTTGATTTGCGTAAAGTATCCACCACTCATCTAATCAGCCATGAGGTGGGTGGAGGGACCTGTGGCACATTCTGGGTTTGGGGAGCCAACTCATTTGTTCCAGGCCATTCCCAGATGAGTAGTCCTCATGAACCAGGCAACCACCCCCACATGCATTCTCCCAAGAGCCACCAAAGAAGCAAGTGCACATGGCTGGTGTAGTGAGGTGCTTAGAATGAGGCATGGGGTAAAGAGGTGCCCATGGCAGTGAGGGAGCAGGAATGGACTGGATGGGTCAGGGCCTTGGATGCTAAGACACAGAGCTCACACTTCAACCTGAGTTGAGTCTCATCTGTGGTGAGGGAGTGTCACAATCATGACAGAAAAGATACTCTGGCTGCTGTGCAGAGATGGATCAGAGGAGAGACGGAGAGAGGCGCTAAGAGCTGACAAGATGTGGCATGTGGACAGAGACTCCAGAGATAGAAGGGAGGCAGAGTTGATGGGACTTGTCAGATTCAGGTATGAGGGGTAGGAGGCCATCAGCAAAGCCGCCCTGGCATCTGGTACTGGGGCCAAGTGCACTGAGAAAGGGCAGGCTGGAGGGATGGAGGTTTAAAATTGGATATAGAACTTCCAGGGGGAGGTGCCCAGGGACAACTGGGGCCCTAGGGGAGAAGTCCAGGCTGGTGACATGGCTTTTGGAATACTCAGCATTGGGGTCACTGGGAGCGGGAGTGGATGAGATATCTAGGGATGGGGAGAGTGGGAGGATGAGGCCTAGTGGGGAACACTCTGGGAGTATCAGCAGGGGAACTTGGGAGGAAGCAGCCAGAGAGCTCAGTTCATGCTGCCCCAACCTGGCAATTGCTCCCAAGTCCAGAGCTGGTCTGACCCTCTCCCAGGGAAGAGCAGAGGCTGCCTTGGCAGCAGAACTAAGGGGCTAAAGGCATAGACTGGCCTCCAGGGGAGGAGCTGCTGCCACCGCAGATAGCTCTCTCAGTTCCCACACAGAGGAATTCTGCATGCAGCTCAGCTATCCCTGTTTCTATGTACTCTTTGGGAGCTGAGTTGAGAACTCTCTGGGACCCAGGGGAAAGAAGGGGCCTGATCCCAGATCGGCAACTGCTTCTCCTGAGCCCCTACAAGGGTCCACAGCTGGAGCTTCCTTTCAGAATTCACAATGGGTGACAAGCATGGGTGATAAGGGGCTTGGAATCACAAGGACCCTGGATCCAGTCCTCTAAGACCTCTTGTGATTGGAGGAATCTTTCCTATTGTGTTCCACATGCCTGGCCCCAGGTGCAAAGAGAGCATGACCTGGATCTACAGGGTCAAAGGGCCAGGGGTGCTGGAGCTGCCTGGGGGCCTAGGACTCAGCCAGATAGGTCCTCTTTGGTCTGGCCTCTTCAGCATCAGGCCTGGCCTGGCCCTACACCTTGTCCCCTAACCCTCAGTAGCTGCCACTATCTACTCTGCCCTGGGAACCCCAACACAGATTTGACCATAGGGGTCAACCCAGCCACCTGCTGCCTCGGCCTGCTCCCTCCAAGGGCAAAGCCATGCCCCTTGTCCTGGGTGGAAGTCACAGTCATGACGTTTAAGAAACTCCAGCAGCATCCTGCAGAGTGGCAAAGTGAGTTGTGAGTACAGGTTACTAGGATTCAAATCCCAGCTCTGTCCTGTAGATGTTGTAGATGCTATGTGGCCTTGGGCAAGTTACTTAATCTCTCATTGCTCCAACTTCTCAGGAAAATGGGTATCCTAACAGTGCTTACCTCATGGTTGTGAACAGGATTAAATAAGTTATCTGTGCAAAGTAGAACAGAGTGAGTGTTCTGGAGGCCTTGTTATATTCCTATAGGCACCCCAGGGCACTGGCTCTCTGGAAGGGGCAACTAGCAAACCACCTCCTTCCTTATTCACTTCCAGGCTGGGGATTTGAACATCTCTGTTTCCCAGGACTCAAGGGGGAAAAGCTGGTCAGGAGAGCAAAGGATTTGAGTTAGAATCCCTGATGCTGTAGAATACAAGAAAAACGCAAACACCATCACTAATAATAGCACTGATGTTCTAGTGCTTTCTTACAATAGTCTTTCTTGCTGGGCAGGTAACCTCACTTTATAGATCAAGAAGATGAGGCTCAAACAAGTTAACTGCAATCTGCCTACTTCGCTCAGCAATAAAGCCATGATCTCACCTTGAAGAAATGGTAAATTAGACTCAGAAGGAATCTCTTGGTTGTTGGATGTGCTCCCATCTTGCCTGGGCTGGCTCCTTCCTCCTCTAAGCAAATGGGGGCTGAGAAAGTTCAGAGTGTAAGCTCCAGGTCTGGGGAAGTAGGCTGTGAGGGAAGAGCTGGCCTATTTCATTGCTGGCTGGGTCTTGCCCTCAGCATCTGCTGCCTGTCCCTGGGGTGACTGCCAAGGCTATGTCCAGGGGAATTTCACAGGTCCCCTGGAGAAGAATCAGGAAGACAGCTCTTGTCCTTGTGCAGGAATTAGACCACGAGGGGACATGTCCAGGTCCCCTGGGGCCTGCAGGAAGCTCCTTGAGGGAGACCTAAGTGTTCCCAGAGATCCTAGGGTCTCTCGTGGGATGCAACTAGGTATGATGTGAGAACCACCTAGAGAGGCCCAGATTTGGCAGTTTCAAGAGCATATCCTTTCGTTATCTGACATGCAGGTGACCTGGCTGAGAACCTAGAGTTTGTTAAGCCCAGGAGGGACGTGTGTCAATTTTCTCTACACCTGTCACCTGATGGGAGACTCTAGGTCCAGGCCCCTCTTGTCTTGTCATTCAACACCAGTTTAAATTTCAGGATCTGGACCCTTCTTCGTGCTATTGCTTCTTTCTGGTATACTCTTTCCACGCTCTCCAGCTTGACCAGCTTCTTTTCATCCCTCAGAGGCCAGCCAACATGGATTGTGGGATGTTTGGCCATTTCTTCTTTTTTCCTAAGGCCAATTTCTAGCTCCATTCAGCAAGCAGCAGGCCCCAAATACTATTCTGGCCACAGTACTCTACTTTTCTGATTCAAATCTTTCCCTGTTTTTTAGTTCCTGAGGATAAAGTCTAAATTCCTCTGTTGGGTGAAATGGTGAGTTGAAGAACTTCAGCCAGATAGGAAGGGAGATGAAGACAGGAGGGGCAGCTTTAGAGAGAGCGAGCAGTGAGGCCAGTGAACCACTGGCTATGATGTAGACTGAGGAGTTTAGAGAAATAGTTTGAGCTAGCAGAAGGTAGATGTTGTGAGAAGTCTGCTTTTGTGACTGAGGAGGTGGGAGCATTCTGGCCTGACCTGTGCCTCCGCCCAGCTTGTGCTATCGCCTGTCTCCTGGTAGAGTTGAGTGAATAGGTGCCAACTTCCACTACCCTATGGGATAGGCCCTCTGGGGCACACGCCAATCTCTATTTCACATTTTTCCCAGGAAAGCCTTGTGCTGGCCTTGCCCATGGCAGCTGCTCCATCTGATGTTTACCCTGAGTAACTCTCTTCCCTGTTTTCCAGCCTTGATGTTTCTGTTTCCTTTAGTTTCTTAAAAGAAATATTGTGAGGCCAGGCACATTGGCTCACACCTATAATCCTAGCACTCTGGGAGGCCAAGGTGGGTGGATTGCTTGAGCTCAGGATTTCAAGACCAGCCTGAGCAATAGTGAGACCCTGTTTCTACTAAAAATAAAAAAAAATTAATTGGCCATTTTGGTGGGTGCCTATAGTCCCAGCTAGTCTGGAGGCTGACTCATGAAGATCGCTTGAGCCCAAGAGTTTGAGGTGACTGTGAGCAATGATGCCATGGCACTCTACTCAGGGTGACAAAGTGAGACTCTGTCTCAAAAAAATATATATATTGTGAGAATTGCGAAACAGTCTAACCTTGTCTCTGATGAAAAGAAAAGGAATTTCTCCCTATACAGCAGACTTTCTGTGGTCCTCTAATAGCCCTAGGGTTGGTCATAGAGATTCTACTTGGGGACCCAGGAAGAGTGAGAACTTCGGGGGCAGAGGTCACAGGGCCTTAGGGTTAGTGGTCCAACTTCCCTCCCCTCCCTTGTTACAGGGAGTCTTTTCCCTTTGCCCTTGTACACACTTGCCAGCTGGCTATACCAGAGTTCTTCCTCCACGCAACAAAGCAGCTACTCCGTGGCAGGCTCATGCTGGTAACTAGGGATACACAGACAATCAGGATGCAAACCCCATGGGAGGAGCTCCCCTCCTGATCAGGGAGATGGGCACCCAAAGAAAGAACTGCACATTGAAGGCCACAATGGAGTGTTATGGGCACAGAAGAAGGAAGCTCACAAGTTTAAAGGGAGAGGGTCAGGGGAACACCCCAGATGATGTGGAGAAGAACAAGAACACAAAGAGAACAGAACCTATGGGGAAGTGAGAGACATGGCAAGTTCATGGCTCATGGGGTTATCTGTGGGGACAGTGAGACCAAAACATGTCAGGGAGCCCAAGAGAGGTGCAGAGCCACAGAGAGGATTTTTTGAGATAGAGTCTCACTCTTGTGCCCTGACCAAAGTGCTGTGGCATCATAGCTCACAGTAGCCTTAAGTTCTGGGGCTCAAGTGATCATCTTGCCTCAGTTTTTTTCTACTGTTAGTAGAGATAGGGTCTCAATCTTGCTCAGGCTGGACTCCAACTCCTGAGCTCAGGCAATCCAACTGCCTCGGCCTCCAGGAGTGCTAGGATTATGGGTGTGATCCACCATACCCTGCCCACAGAGAGGTTTTGAGGTGTATTTTCATTTTACTTTTAGGCCAGTCACTCTGGCTCAAGCATGTGTGTGTATTGGGGGTGGGGTGGGGCTTGGGGACAGAGGATTTCAGAGAAGAAAAGAGCAACTGTAGGGAGAAAAAAAATAGTAAGGAGTCAGCTGTATGATTCAGAGTCAGAGGGTTCCTTCCAGGTAGTGAGTTTGAAGATATAGATAACCAGGCGAGTGTGTGTGAGGGGAGCCAGAGAAGGTGATTTGTTACTGGGCTTAGGTGTGACGGTGCAGCTGCTGTGGCCATCTGGGACTACCCTGAGGTGCTGTGCGGTGTCACCTCCAGACAAGGTGCCCATGGAACACCCAGGAAGAGGCCTGTACTTGGTGTTCTGTCCTTCTCTCCTGGGCTCTTCATGCTGTTCCCTCCCTCAGCTTGCAACACCCTTGGCCTCACCCTCTGCCTACAATTTTCTCCAGGAGACATCCTGACCTTGCCTGTTTTGACAGCAATTTTTTTCGTGTCAAAGCCCCTGCAGCACTAGACCTCTCTGGAGGCAGGTCTCCTTTCCCTGCCTTTCTGGGTATCTTCCATGGGGCTTCATGCAGCCTGCACCTTGCAAAGCAGGAAGTTGATGACAAAGTGAGCTTGAGCTCTGCTTCCAGTGGGAGTTTATCGTTGTCACCCAGGAAATGTAACTGCACACCACAGAAGGGGAGATCCCTTCCCTAGCTGACTCCAAACAGGAAGTGACTCTTCCTGGCTCAACCCAGGAGCCCAGGAGTGGGTCAGCTGGTACAGTGACTACACAGATGCAGGGTGTGCTGGTTTCAGAGGTGGGGTGGGAGCTACAGCTTCCTGCCACCCTCAGGGAATCAGCTGAAGGGATACAATGTAAGGGAGGAGCAGTCTCCAGACAAATCAGCTCTAACAGCTCATCCTGAACCAGCAAGTGAGCAAATGTAAAAGACTCAGGTCCCCAGCACACTTTCCCTGGGACTGCAAAGCCACCTCCTTCCCAAAGCTAAGCATCCACTCAACACTCTGCCCTCCAGTGCCTGGCCTGGCTGAGGAGACCTTCATGTTGCTGTTTATAAGGCTAAGAAAGGATTGAAGAGCTCACTTTGGACAGGTGGGGTGTGAGGTTGGGAGGGGAGGGTCTCTGAGGTGAGATGGTGAGGTGATGACAAGACAGAAGCAGTCACCATTTTATTGCACATCTGCCACGAGCCCAGTCCTTCCATAAATTTTACATTTAATCCTCACATTGATGAACACAATCTCAAACCTCAAGCAACTGAGGCTAGAGAGGCTACGTCACTTGCCCCACTGAATGCCCGAGTGGGGAGGCCATGCCACATCTGTTCTGTTTCAGAGTCCCTTTTCTTTCCACTTTGCCTCCAGTTACTCTCCTCAATCAGTGGCCCCTGATACTGTCTCTGGGATGGGCAACTGTTACCCCTGTGGAAATCCCTGGTGGGTGCTGCCAGACAGGGTTGAGGGGTGCTGGAGATAGAAGTCAAGAATCTTTAGGAATCCTAGACACAGACAAGCAGTTCCATGGACACAAATACTCCACTCCAGGAGGCACACGCTAACTTTCTCATGGTGTGGATGTGTGGAAACACACAGTCTCTTTTTCTTTTTTTTGAGACAGAGCTTCAAGCTGTTGCCCTGGGTAGAGTGCCGTGGCATCACAGCTCACAGCAACCTCCAACTCCAGGGCTTAAGTGATTCTCTGGCCTCAGCCTCCCAAGTAGCTGGGACTATAGGCACCCACCACAACGACTGGCTATTTTTTGGTTGTTGTCATTGTTGTTTGGCAGGCCCAGGCTGGATTCGAACCCGCTAGCTCTGGTGTATGTGGCTAATGCCAAGCGCATGCAGTCTCTTAATTACGCATCATGAAATCCTACAGAGGACTGACACAGCCCTGGGCATGTATACACACTCACTGTGCATGTATGCACATAATGCACCATGTACACACCCTGTGTGCATACTTGCACTTTGCACACATCCTTGCATGTATGTGTTATGCATGTGCATGCACTATGCAGAACACATGCATGTACATATGCACCACACATGTGATGTGCACATCATCAATGTAGGCAGGCACCATGCATCACACACATGCACATATGCACCACCCATACACACATGTATGCACATACGCACCACATACACACCCTGATGCAATTCTGGGGGCACAGCAGGTGGTGGGAAGGGCTCTGGCTCTGTCAGATGAGGTTGGTGATGCTGGATGTGGTCTCTTGACGCTGGCCAGTAGACAACTGTCCTGAGATGCTGAAGATGCTGGTATTGCCACCATGGCCACTGTGGGTGGAGGGAGCAGCTATACAGATGGAGTTGCAGTGTCCACTCACGCCTACCTGATATAGCAGTAAGCCCAGTAGCAAGAGCAAGCCCAAGGCAGCCAGAGTGATGCCCACAGAGAGCATGGCAGCTAGGGGCCGAGCAGGGGCTGGGGCAGCGGCCAGCCCTGCCAGGGTCAGGCCGGTGACCAGCAATACGAGGCCACTGAGCAGCACCACGAGGGCATCAGCTCCCCCACCACTGCGCAGCAGCGCAACATGGTGTGCCTGACGTATGCAGTTCATGTCCTGCACAGCCGAGCTCATCAGCTGCTTCACCAGAACCAGCAGGGCCAGCAGACAGAGCACAGTGCCAGTTGCTAAGCGCCACTCACCCGAGCGGCTGCTAGTGGATGACAGCAGGACCACGCCGCCGGCCCCACAGCCTGCCACAAGGCCCACGGCCATGGCAAAGCACAGTGCTGAGCGCCGTGGCTGTTGGGACCACCACAGCTCCACTTGCTCTGCCAGTACATTGGCAGGTAGCCCCCGGGTTCCTGGGGCTTGGGCCCCCTGTTCAGACATGGTGTGTTGAGGCAGTGGTCAGGGCAGAAGAACAGTTTTAGGGCCAGAGGGTGCAGTTCATGGCCTGGTGCCCCCACCACCTGCTTAGCAGCTACAGGCCCAGACTTCTATTCCTCTTGCAGTCCAGGCTGTGGTTCCCATCACCTGCAGCAGAAGGATCACAGTCTTACCTCCCGAGTCTTGGGGACGACCCCTGGAATCCCCCCAACCTGGGGAAAACCTCCTCCCCAGCTCAGTCTTTTGGGGATGCCTTGAGATCCCCAGGAGAGTTTCTGCCCCCACTGAGCCCCCCAGCACCCCTTGGGGAATCCCCTTGCCTAGCCTCTGACCTCTTTCGCTCTGGATCTCCCACTTGCCTGTCCCATCCTGGATGGGTGAGAGGGCTGGTGCCATGGTGGACGATGGGACGATGAACAGCCAGAGATAAAGCCTCATTCAGAATCTCACATGGCCTCAGCTGTCACCACTGGTTCCTGGTGGTGGTGGGGGGAGCTGTGAGGAGGGAGGGGACTTATGACTTAACTCTTGTGGAACCAGAGTGTGGCCCTGAATTTCCTGTCAGGGCTTCGTCTCCTCCTCCTCTCTGGTTTGCTATTGAACCCTAACAGCCCCCTCCGCTGACATCTTGACCAATCTCACAGCCTGACTTTGGCACTGTAAAACTGCAGGTTCCCCAATCTGTCTCTCTCCAACCTGATCTACTTCCTGGCTTATTAGTCACCTTGATGTCCTTGAGGTCCCGTAGTCACCCCTGATGCAACAGGTCCCAACCCAAACTTGTCATCACACCCCAGCACCATTATGCCCTCCTGGGTTCCTTCAGGCGCACAAACCTCAGCTACTAGTGGACTCCTCCTCCCTCCTTGTAGCTAAAATCCACCCCATCCAGGCCCTTCCCACCCAGGAAGTCTAACTCAGGCATTACTCCATCCAGTTCGCATCTCTCCTCCCACTGCTCCTACCTCCTCACCCTCTTCCCCCTGCTCTCCCTTCTCTTCTCCACCCACGCCCACCATGCCATTCTCCCCCATACTTTCCCTAAAGTGGAGTGAAGGAGAAAGGAGGGCCTGCCCCCAGTCCTTCCCACTGGTGGGAACTTGGCAAGGGACCTGACAGCAATGGCAACTGTCCTCTACAGGACAGTTGGCATAACTCAGACTTGGCAAAAATGAAGCGGCTGTGGTGCCTGCACTCAAGGAGCCCCAGGCTGCAGCAGGAGACAAAACAAGCAGGCCTGGCTCCTGCAACTGGTGCTGCATGTGAAGCAGTCAGCACAGAGCCCTGCGAGCCACAAAAAGGGCATGGGGGTGGGTCTGGAAGCCTCAGTTTCCTATCTGAAAAGTGAACACAAGGCCATTGGGGGAGAGGTTTGAGCCACTTGACATTTTCATTTCAGGATTCCAATATAACCTAAAGCCTGCATAGATACTCAAAGCATGGTTTTTGAATAAATAAACTCAATGTTACCCTTCTAATTCAGGGTAGGATATAGGACTTAGGTCCTGGATCCTTTCAGGAATCTGACTACGTGGCACAGCAGAGGTTACACCCAGGTGAGGTATTTGTCCTCCAGGAGACCCTTCCGCAGGACTAGCTCTTACCCACAAGGGGGCGGGGCCAGTGCTGATGCCCCCCAGGGAAATGGGGGAGGTGCTATGGGAGGGACTGTGGAGTCAGGCCCAGCATTCCTGTGGGCTCTGACTTCACTGGCCTAAAAGTGCTAGCACAGGTGTACTGAGACGGTGTACCAGGTGGGGTTGGGATGGAGGTTCTCAGAGAAAAGCCCATGGGAGAAGGTGGGGGAGAGAGAGGTGGGGGACTGCGGGGCACTCACGAGAAGCCTGGATGTGCTGGATCCGATCACAGCAGGCAGGACCGGGCAGGTGGGGCGCTCTAGCTGTGTTTCCGGGGAGACGCTTCACCTGCCTATCTGCTCTCAGGTGAGCCTGAGGGGAGGGCTATTAACAGGTGTTGTTTCCAGGGCTGGGCTTGAGCCGATTGGCTTATGTGGCACTGCTCCGTCTGTTGGTCAGAGGCCATCTTGGGAAGGGAGGGCCTTCTGCTTGCCGCTGTGAGGGCTGGGAATACAAGGCAGACCTGGGCAGCAGGAGAAATGTTGTGTGCCTGGGTCCTGACCAAACCCCCAGTTCCTACCCCAGCTTAGCTTTAGCTCCAGCCTTAGAACCTCACATTAACTCCAGCTGCAGTTCCAAACCTTGACTACTTAGTACCCTCAGCTCCCATTAGCGGCCCAGCTTCTGCTGCCCATCTGAATCCTACTTCCCCAGCTCCATTTCCAAATTCAGTTCTAGTCCCAGCTCCTATTATAACCTCAAATCTGATTTGAAATCTCAGTTCCAACTTCTAACTCTAACCCAAATTCTAGACTTAGGTTCTAGACCCCCAAACCTGCCCTCAGCTCCAACCTTGACTCCTCTTCCTGAACCAGCTCCCCAAACCCAATGGCAACATCAGCTGATCCCCAAACCCAGCCCTAGTACCTCCATCCCTTGGTCCTCGGATGGAGCCCCCACTTGCTCATTCTCCAAAGCCTCATATGCCTAGCCCAGATAGGCCTCATCCACATGGCCAGCCCCTGCTTAGGGGAGAAGGGATTTGAGTAAACAGGGAGGAGGGCTAAGGAGGCCTTTCAGGTGGAAAGCAGGAGATCCCAGAAGATACTTCTAAATGAATGCCACACTCCTTCACAAAAGCTCACAGAACTCCTGTCATTCCTGCCAGGTTAGACATTTGCCACTGGCACCCTGCCCTCCAATCAGAGTACGTGTTATACAGTTCTGCAATCTCTGTCCTCCAGTGTTTGAACTCAGAGTTCCCCTGCCTGGGATATTTACCACTCTCCAGCCTTACATTGTGCAACTGAAATGTCACCTCTTCCAGGAAGCCCTCCCTGACCAGCAGGCTGGTTTAGGGGCCTTTTTGCTGTACCCATAGCAGCTGTGCTTCCCCCACAGCTGCCCTTACTGGAGTGTACTTAATTGCTTTTACTTCCTGTCACCCCCTACTAGACATGTGGTCCCTAGTGAGTGTAGGAATAGTGCCTGTTTCGCTAACCACTGTGACCTCAGTAGCCAACTTGTTGGGAGAACCAATAAATATTTGTCAAATAATTGGCGGAAGAAATGAAAGCAAGAACTGACAGATGTGGGGTTTTGAGCAGGCAGCATGTGAGATGAAACTGGAAAGACAAACTTGGCTCAGTGAGGCATTTGGACTGTGTAAAGTGCCCACTTTAGAGGGTTCCAAAGTGTAACAGGGACACAGCTGGGGCTCTGTTCCTAAAAGGCAAACCTGGTCCCACACATCCAGACTGGCAAAGGATAGCTGCTGGTGGTGGTGGCGGTGGTGGGGTTGGCTGTCTCTTATCCCTGGGCCCTTATGATGCCTGTTGCTTTCTTCTTCTGATGTGGATGAAATAGAAAAGAAAAACAAAACCGAAGTTATCTTTCCATTTTCAGTTCACAAAATAACTGTGCACCTGTTTTCCTTGTTCTGTGGAGTTAATTAGGGGATCATCATAACTCTAGAACAGTCCTGTCCATTAGAAATATAGCGTGAGTCACACTGCCGTTTAAACTTTTCTAACAACCACATTAAAAAATTAAAAAGAAACAAGTAAAACATTAAAATTCAAATACTTTACTTAATTCCAAAATACATGTGAATATACAAGTTGTTAATGAGCTATTTTATAGTGTTATTTTGGGCCAAAGTCTTGAAAGTTCAAGTATGACCTTTATACTTACCATGCACCTCATTTCAAACATGCTCAGTTACCACATTTGGCTTGAGGCCGTGTCCTTACAGGGCAGCACAGCTCTAAGATGTCCTTCCCTTCAAGAAAAGTTAGGGCAGGCTGGACTGGGGGGACAATGGTGAGTGGGGTGTTGTAGGTTTTGATCTTACACTTTGCAAAGCATTATAAAAGGTATCCCCTTATAATAAAGGGGCTCAGCTCAGAGGAGCTGTGAAGCAGAGGGCCCAGCAGGGCTTAATGGCTACAGATTCCTCTTGTACACATTTGACATTTATGTACCCTCTGGTTCCAAGGAGGGTCCACCCCCAGCCAGACCAGCTGTCCTGGGTAGAGCTGGGGCAGAGGACCCATGAGATTTTTCTCTCCTTTTCCCTTTCCTTGGGGGTTTACAGGAACTTTATGGGTAGGAGAAACAAAGGCCAGAAGTTTCCTCAGTTTAAAAATTGACTGGGCAAATCTTTGTTCTACTTCTGGGTCATTTCTATTAGTTTGGAATTAAAGTGGAAAGGCAGGCTCCTCTTAGGGCTGTTGAACTGTGTCCCCAACGCAGAGGTTGTTGGGGTAGCTCAGATGGATGGCAATGAAGGTCAGGAGGAAGTGGTGGCGTGGGCACAGTGTGGAAGGTGTGAATGAACTGCCCCTGATGCACCAGAAGGCAGTTGGTGGGAATAACAAGGGGCGGAACCTATAGGAGAGGCCGTGGGCCACCTCCTTGCTTCTGCCATGTCCCACTTTAGGCTAATCTCAATCTGGTGGCCCCAGTGATCCCATTAAAAGGTAAAGCAGACCATGCCACTGCCCACCTCCCTTAGATGAATAGCGTCCTCCTGCCATCTCCAAGGTCCTCTCAGCTTCATTCCTGCTGCCTTGGAGCCTCTGCACTGGCTGTCCCCTCTGCTTGGAATGCTTCTCTCCTCACATGGCCCCTCCCTCCCTTCAGGAATGTTCTCAGGCCCACTCTGTCTAAAGTCACAACATCCCCCAATATTTTCTAGCCCTCACCACACTTTCATTTCCTTTATTCCCTTATGTTTTTCCTTAGTACTTAGCACTTTCTAATATGCTGTATATTTCTCTCATCAATTTGTCTTGCCCCCCAGAATGTATGCTTCATGAAGGAAAGTGAGTCTTGTTTGTTCATTGTGCGTCCCCAGCTCCTAGAATATGCCTGGCATATGCTCAATAATTGTTGAATGAATAGTGAAAAGAACACTGGTTTTAGAGCTAAAATGATCTTACACAGGTTCAAGTCTGAGCTCTAGCTGTGCATCCTTAAGAAAACTTCCTGATCTCTACGTGTCTCAGTCTCTCCATTTGTAAAATGGGGGCAACAGTACTTAGTCCATACAGGTGAGGGGTATTAAATAATAGAGTTAATTCAGCACACATTCACTGTGTCCCTTCTTTGGAGCAGGTATTGTGTACATGCTGGAGATGTAGGGTGAGGAGAGAGATGTCATCCCTGCTGTCCCAAGGGCAGGTCCGGAGATGAGTGGATGCTAAGTGCAGGGTACCTGAAGGTCCTCAGTGGCCCAGGCACCCCTGCCACCATGCTTAGGGACAGTTCCCTGAGACAGACGTCTTTTGGAATATCAGTCCACTCACAATAACCATCCTTACCCCAGCAACCAGGATTATATTTTGTGACACAACACTATGGCTGTAGATGATTAGATGGACTAAGCCCCAAGCTAGGCTGAAAAGATTCTCTGAAAATTGGACTAGAGATTTCATTTCAGCTTGAGGGCTTATATTAATAAGGGGTGCTAAGGTGCCCTTCTGCCACCTGAACTGGCAAAGGAAAGCTGGTCTGCAGAGAGGGGCAAGGGCAGGAGAGGGAGAGGAGTTCCAGCAGTGTCCCAGGCCCTAGCTCAAGTCTTTCCTGAGATCTGTTGCATCTCTGCCATGAGATCCTGTGAGATATCATCCTCAGTGCCAGATAATAAATTCTCCTTTCTTACTTCAACTGGCTGGAATTGGTTTCTGTTACTTGTGGCTAAAGATGGGCCCTCAGAGTTCCCAGGTACAGAACTAGAATCTTGCAGTCCTACTTATGATAAAATTAATGTATAATTACACACAGTAGGTACTTAGTGAGGACTAGTCCACATTCACTGCTTCTGCCAAATCTTACCATTTGACACATACTCAATGAGCAATAAATACAAGTTCTTGCATACTGTCAGTCAGGTGATAAGTAATAAGGTAATAAGTAACCCTAGTCTCTCCTGCTGCCTGGTGCCCACAGCAGGGTTACTTCCTTATAACTCTGTTCCTCGGCCCAGCTCAGCTCAGGGCACTCTGGCTGCATCTTGCACATGTATAACAGGCCCCTGAACCTCCAATGGTCTAGGAGGGGTCACCTCAATGGAATACTGCAAATCCAGAGCAGTGATGTAGGGGGTCCTACCGGGCATGAAGCTATTCCATGGCCCACTAGGTGCCCTTAGGTCCTTCATGGGACCAGCTGGTTGGCAATGGCTGGCCATGTTTTGTGTAACAAGCAGGATGGTGATGCCAGAACATCTTGCAGCATCTTTAGGTCTGAGAGAACAGGATGGCAGAAGAGGTCTGGCTACAGCTGATGCCAAGACTCTAGAAGAAGAAGAGGGGGCCCAATAGATGTCTGGGGCCCAGAGAGAGGAATTTTGGAGGCTCTTAAATCAGGGTGGCACAGCAGCCACCAATGGCTCCAACAGTCACACTGGAATTAATGAATCCTCTGAGGTCAACAGTGGATTGCAACCAGAAGAGCAAAAGCACAGTCTATGTGCCAATGCCTAGTTCAGGCGTCCTCAAACTACGGCCTGCGGGCCACGTGAGGCCTGCCTAGGACATTTATCTGGCCCGCTGGGTGTTTTTGCCCCTGCTGCCTGTCCTGCTTAGCAGCCGACTCATCCCAGGGCCTGCAGTCTGGCCCTCCAATGGTCTGAGGGACAGTGAACTGGCCCCCTGTTTAAAAAGTTTGAGGACCCCTGGCCTAGTTGCTTGGGTGACCAGCAAGGCATCCGTGGGCCTGCTCCATCCCTGTGGGGTCAGCTAGCTGAAGAAACCTTGTGAGGGAGGTGGGGGCACCAGTGGGGTGAGTGCCTCTCGCCTCCCATGGAGTGAGGACAGACAAAGGAGAGTGAGGTTTTTGATGCAGCAGCCAAAGAACCCATGCCACCCAACAGGTGGATGTAGGAGCACTGAACTAAGAACATAAGAGGTAAATAAGGTTTTACCTCTGGCCCTAGACTTTCTAGCCAGCAGCTATGTTCACCCTGTGTAGTTAAGAAAACACCCTGCTGACCTGCTGGCTAAGGTGCCAGGTTCCACTAGGGTAGGGCTCTCCCTGGCCTGGACTTCCTCCTCCTCCTCACCAGCTGGACAGCAGCCAGTGTAGGCTGGGCTCAGGTTAGCTTGGCTTGGGAGTTTTTGGCTCCTTTAACTTCTGGTTTAGACTCTCCAGGTGTCACACTGTTACACCCTCCACCACTTGGCCTGTGGTGTTTTGTTTGGGTTCCTGTCCAGAGCAGGGCACTGGAGCAAGGGCTTGGAGTTATCAGGCAGCCTGGGCTAGACCCCAGCTCTGCTTGTGCCAGTCACTTTTCTCTGGGTTCCTCATCTGTTAACCAAGGTCCATCTTTATATGAAATGCGATGTCTTGACTCCAAGATATTTTTCATTTGAAAAAATCTATCACGTGAAGGTCAATGGAGAATTTCCTTCTGGAGGAGCTTCCTCTGCATTTTTGTTTTTCCCAGGTCAATGCTCCCTTACCCCTGGCTGGGCTGATTTCTGCCAGTCCTTACATCAGAAGAATTCATGTCTCTCCCTCCCTGCTGCCTTCATCTTGGTCCAACCCACTGTCCTCTCCCACCTGGACATCCCTGACTTCCCCTACCTGGGCCCTGTTAGTCAGTTCCCCACACAGATACCTGAGTGAGCTTTACAAACAGATGCATCCCTCATGGGTCTCCCCTAGTAGGAGAGGTGAACTCAAGGGTTAGGAAGCAAACAGCATGGCAGGTGTGATGTGGATGGGAGTAGAGTTGGAATTGCCTTTCTGAGGTGACATGTAAGCTAAGATCTGAAGGATGAAGTTCATGAAGTGAGGTGTGGGGCAAAAGCATTTCAGGCAGAGGAAACCATGTGTGGAATGACCTGGAGGCAGGAAAGACCTTGGCCTCTTGTAGGAACTGAAAGGCCAGTGCAACAAGAGCTTGGAGAGCAGTGGGCAGTGACTTCTGTGTGCCTTCAGCCCTGCATGGTCTGGCCCTGCTAACTCCAGCCCCCCAATCTCATTTCAAGTCAGTTTCTTCAGCAAAGGTACAGTCAAGATGTGAGTTTGGAGTGGAGTTTGAATCCAGAAGCGCTCACCTACCTAATCTCCTAATTTAACTAGCTGTCACCTTTGTGGGTAAACCTCTCCGGGGTGCTTGGACATTTTCCTGCTCTCTGGTTCTAGTCTCCCAGTGGGGCGAGGATATGTGGAGAGCATGCTGGTATGGAAGGGACAAGCTGGCTGCTATAATGGGGCACAGGCTGGGGAGGGGAGGTAGTTACACAGGAAGAGGTTCCCGCAGACCTGTGGAACACTCTGCCCCATGGCCTCTGCTGTGTGCCTTCCTTCTGCCGTCTATAGCCTTTGGGAGAGCCTTGCCAAATGTGACGGCCAAGTCTTGCTCTCACTGTGAAAACTAGCCCAAGAGCAGTGCCCATAGTTTCAGTAAAGCAGATAAGGGAAAGATGGGAAGATGGCAGGTTTAAGATAGCCAATAGAGACCAACAGGGACTATGGCTTAAACATTTGTCATTTAGGTATTAGAGGAGTGTCTGGTCTCTGCAGGCAGAAGACAGGGATGTTGAGTTATATTCTTTTGCTCATTAGTGCACAAAAACTTTCTTTCTTGGTACCTACGTATGGCTGGGGTTAAAGATCAGCCCAAGAGGAAGGAGACAAAGTAGTACCCCCAGAAATGGAGGAGCAGGACAGGGCCCTGCAGAACAAAGATGGCATGTCTAGGACAGTGTGGAGGTGAGAGGAGTAAGGGTAGAGCTCTGCTTATAGTCCCAAGAACAGGGTCAGCAGGTAATGTAAAACTTTGGGAGATCCTTGTAGCATTTCCATAACCATTACTTTACAGCCATCTTTCCCCCCTCTTTACATAGATATCAACATCCTCACAAAGCCTCACTACATTTCATAAAGGAGAAGGAAGGAAATGTAGAGGCTTTGTCTGGTCCTGACAGAGATGGCAGTGGGGAAAGCCTGTGGGGAAAGCCCCATCCTTGAGGCCCAGCGAGGAAAGGGGGTGGGAGGAGGCCAGCCTTAAGTTCAGTGTGATCTCAGTGCCAGGCTGCCCCATGCCCACACAGGGACAGGTGGTGGTGGCTCTAGAAGACCTGGAGCCTCCAGTCCTCTGGCTCCCCATTTCCCTACCCCTGCCTGGACCCCTAGCTAAGCAGAAATTGGACAAGGTGTGGGCAAACACCTTTATTCTAACTGTGTCCCAGACTCCCCAGGGCAGGAGAAAGAGGCTGGTGGGGTCAGTGTTGCAGGAACCATGGGGGTTCCTGCCTCAGGCACATGGTGCTACCTCTGGCTGTGGCTGCAAATAGCTCACTGGAGGGGTCACTTGGTCTGCACCTCGGTGTCCACCTCTGAGGCGAGGGAAGGAAGCCGGATTCCAGTGAGTGTGTGGAAGCCCGGCATTTGCTCCTGTTCCTGGATCTGGTCTCTGAGGCGCTGGATTTCCAAGCGTTGCATTTCAATGATTCTCCATGTTTCTTCTTGCTCGTTCAGTCTCGTGGTGGGGGTGATGCTGAGCCCATCCTTGCTAGGTGCTGTAAGGGATGGAGCAGGACCAATGAGGGCCTGTTCACTGGATCACTGCATGGCATCCTCCCCTCCCCACTCCCAGCCTCCTCAAACACTTATCAGGCATCTTCTGAGGGGTAGATGTCCCAGATACTAAACACAGAGATGAACCACTTCACTGTCTAATGGAGATGGACAAAGAGCCATGCTTCAGAGCAATGAGGTGAATGCTGAACGCACCTCAACCCAGCTGACCCTTGAGCACCTTCCCCCCCATGGCCCCATTTCCTGCTCCACACGCACTATCCAGGTGACCCATGCTGCCTTCCAGACCACTGATCTTCCTCTACTTGTAAACCCCCTGCTCCTGCAGACAGACACTGCCCTCACCTCCTGGTGTGTCCACTCACTAACAATGCTTCTTGACTGAGTAGTCCTCCCTGTCTCAGGGGCTGTTGTCATTGTGGATGACATCAGTGAACAGCAGGTTCTAGGACTTACCACATTCTCTGGCCTTACATGATGAACTCCCAGCAGTAATGGTCTTGGTCTCCACGCCCCATCAGCACCCATTCCTGTGGCTTCCCCTCCCTCATCACCACCCAGGATACCCATCTAGAATCTAGAATCTAGGTGGTCCACTCCAGCAATGTCTGCCTATGCTCAACACACAGGAGCTCTCACGGAATTGAGACCTCTTCCTCTTGGACAGCTCTGTTTCTCACCTACGAATGGGTTCCCTTACAGTCATTCCCTTTTCTGGCCAGCAAGATTCACAGTGAGCTTGTTCTCCATTTTCCCATTGGCCCCTCAGTATTCCAGCCACCTGGTCCTCCTGTCCCATGTGCCCTGCACAGCCCAGACCTGACATGCCCATCTCTGGGTGTCTCCCTTTCCACATCTGGCCGGCTGTGTGCTACTGCAAAAACTTACACAAGATTCTTGGGCTTCAGATGGGCTTTATGTCCACAGTTGGCAAACCCTTCTGTTACCTGCAATGACATTCCTGAACTGGGACCTCCTCTCACATCCTCCCCACACACTTCACAGTGGGTGCTGGCACCTACTCCAAGAAACCATCTATAGCGTTCTCACACTGTCCACTGTCTCTCAGAGAAAGGAGGGGGGTCTTTCTTCCACCTGCTGCCACCCTTCCTTATATATCTGGAGGGAAAACTGGAAAAGAGTAGCCAGTGGAGGCCAGGGAAGAGTGTCAAAGAGGAAATGAGAGGCCCTGCTTTGGGCCTCTAACTGAGCATTCAAACAGCACTTGGCTTATCCTGCCTATCTTCCCAGAAGTCTGGACCCTTCTCTTTTTGTCTTTGCTCCTTGACTTTTCTCCTTTTCTGCAGATTCTAGGCTCTTGATTTTTCTTTTCTTTTCTTTTCTTTTTTTAAAGATAGGGTCTTCCTGGGATAGAGTGCCCAGCTCACCACAATCTACCTCCTGGGCTCCCAGTAGCTGGGACTGTAGATAAGCACTACAATGCCCAGGTTATTTTTCTATATTCTGCAGAGACAGGCTGGTTTCCCTCTTGCTCAGGCTGGTCTTGAACTCCTAACCTCTAGTGATCCTCCTGCCTTGGCCTCCCGAAGTGCTAGGATTACAGGTGTGAGCCACTGTACTGGGACCTAGGCTCTTGATCTTTTAGTACTTCTTTTCCTGGTCTTGACCCTTCATCTTCTCTCTGTTGCTGGTTGTCCCTGGCAATTACCCCTCAGAGTCAAGTGATGGCATGGCCCTGGGGCCTAGACAAGTAGCTCCCCCGGGGAGGCACAGCACACACAGGTAGAGAAGCCTACCCCACCTGCTCTGTCACCTCCCTCTTCTCTCTCCTGGTTACTAGCATCTCTGGGAACTTACACCCCCCCACCTCCCCCACCTTGGGCCCATACTCTCTCTCATCTGCCTTTACTCATGCTGCTTACCAGTCACCATCTGGCTTCCCAGGGGGACCCACTGTGTGTTTGTGAAGCCATGGTCCTAGAGGTAACCACTGGAGTGAGCCTGAAAATGCTGCAGCACTTGGAATTCTTCCTCTCTCTCTGCCTGATGCCAGCAGGGCTGGCCACACATTTTTCCCGGGGCTGCTTCTGGTGTTGTAAGGATCTCCATGCAGATTGTAGCTGTAAGGCCCTTCTGGCCGTTGTTCAATCATGGATGAGTCCAAGTGCCCTCAGGCTGAGAAGTACGAGGCACTGCAATAGCGGCCTGTTCCCATACTTACAGGGGAGGGAGATCAGACACTGCAGAGCCACTGGGTGGGTTTTCCCCTCTCCTTAACCTTTAGCTTCCTAATTCTCTATTGCTTTGACTATTGTTTTTTTAAAAAAGATATGCATGCAGTAGAAAACTGGAAGGAAAGCATGCTTTTCTTAATATTCTCTTGATTTAATAATTATTATTTATCAAAGTTATAGATGCCTATAATATGGAGTCAAATAACCCTACAAAGCTTTTTTTTTGAGACAGAGTTTCACTTTGTTGCCCTTGGTAATAGTGCAGTGGCATGGCAGCTCACAGCAACCTCGAACTCTTGGGCTTAAGCAGTCTTCTTGCCTTAGCCTCCCAAGTAGTTGGAACTACAAGAGCCTGCTACAATGCCTGGCTATTTTTAGAGACAGGGTCTTGCTCCTGCTCAGGCTAGTCTTGAACTCTTGAGTTCAGGCAATCTCCTGGCCTTAGCTTCCCAAAGTGCTGGGATTACAGGCGTGAGTCACTGCAGTCATCCTTATAAAGCTTGTTGCAAATAATAGTAATTTCTTGTTCCACATTCATTTCTCAGTCCTCAGAGGCAACGATTTCAATTATTTTAGCTAAATTCTTTTGGTATTTACTTCCACACTCTGCTTTGATTCATGTGCTTCTGTTGCTTCTTTGATTTGTCATTTTGGGGCATTTTCCACTGACTTTCCATTATGAACAATGAGAATGTAGCTTCTCTTTGACACCTTTCCCTACCCATGAATACTTCTCATCCTATCACTCCCCCTCCCCCCCAATTTTGAGAGGATTAATAGTCAGAATTTACACTGTTATGATTTATGCAACTGCTAATCACATCTGAACCATGTAGTATACAATGATTCTTTTTCCTTTTCTGCACATTAATTCACCTAATTTACATGTACTAAATTACTAAATGCTATGTATTATATTGCTAATCCAGTCTCAACTCTTTGGTAGTTATGTAAGTATTCTCATTAGATATTTAGATATTCTATCAATTTCATCTCCTCCAAGTGCCTTGTGACCTACTCAATTTGCCCAGATTGCTCTCACAGCTGTTGTCTGGCAATTTGCCTTCATCATCATTTTAGGGAGTTTTTTGCTTTTCTCTCTTATTTAAGTATCCTGTTTCTTGAATCTTATGTCTTTTTCTTGGTTTACAGCCTTCCTTTGGTGAACATCAAGTAGCTTCCTAAAAAAGTATGCATGGGAGGTAAATCTATTGAGACATTTACATATCTGAAAATGTCTTAATTCTAACCTTTCCTTGATTGGTTGCTTGGCTGGGTTTACAATTCTGGATTAGAATCATTTTCTCTTGGAAGATTAAAGACATCAGTCCATTGTCTCCTAGATCCCAGCTAGTGTTGAGAAGTCTAATGCAACTGGGGATTTATTGTTGTTGTTTGTCAATTTTAGGTCCTTTAATGCCACAAGGCTAAATGAAGAAACTATTTTTTCCATAGTTATACATGGATGATATAATAATAACTTTTTAAATTTAAAAATTAAAAAAATTATGGTAAAATCTATATAATATAAAATTTAACATTTTAAGCCTACAGTTATGTGGTCTTAAGTACATTCACATTGTTATACACCATCACCACCAACCATTTCCAGAACCTTTTTTGTCTAACCCAACTAAATCTCTGCATCCAATAGAGTACTAACTCACCATTCTCTTCTCCTCCCTATCTCCTGGCTATCCCCATTCTACTTTCTGTCTCTGTGAATTTATTCCAGCAATCTCATCTAAGTGGAATCATATAATATTTGTCATTTTGTGACTGGCTTCTTTCACCTAGCATAATGTCTTGAAAGTTCATGCACATTTGTAGTATGTGTAGAAGTTCCTTCCTTTTCAAGGCTGAATACTATTCTGTATCCCAGAGTTTCTGATAATTCATATCTTCATTATTTTGTTCCAAAAATTTGGTAATTTCCTTCTTAATCTCATCTCTAATTCAGCTATCACTCAGCTTCCATGTTTTCATATGAGTATGCAGATTCCTGGTGTTACTGCGTTCAACTTTTGTTCCATGATGGTCCAAGAAGATGCAAGGAATAATTTCTTTTCTTTTAAATTTGCTGAGGTTAGACTTGTGACCTAAGATGTGATCAATTTTGGAGTATGTTCTGTGGGCTGATGAGAAAAATGTGTATTCAGTTTTGTTAGGATGAAATGTTCTGTAGATGTCTATTAAATCCAAATGTTGAATGGTTAAGTTTAAATCTA